AAATATTTTAAATTTTCTACCGAATAAATATGGTCGAAAGTGTTTCACGGCCCATACTATTGCGAGAAGTTTGCGCTCTATGGTAGAGTAATTACTTTCAGCTTTATTTAACGTACGTGATGCGTAAGCAATAGGTAAATCTTTGCCAATTTCACCTTGCGAGAGAATCGCTCCGATAGCGTGGATTGAAGCATCCGTAGTTAATATAAACTCTTTAGTAAAATCGGGATATTGTAACAGAGGAGTCGTTGTGAGAATTTCCTTACAGGAGTCAAAAGCCTGCTGTTGTACACAACTCCATGTAAACGGAACATCCTTTCTTAATAAGCTTGTTAAAGGCTTAGTGAGCTTACTAAAGTTAGGTATGAACCTACGATAGTAGCCTGCGAGACCAAGAAATGATTTAATATCTTTACATGATTTAGAGACTGGAAACTCACGAACTGATTTTACTTTTTCGGGATTTGGCTTTACACCTTCACTCGATATAATATGACCCAGGTAAGCAACTTCTTTTCTCAAGAATTCGCATTTATCTGGTTGTATTTTCAGACCGTATTTTCGTAACCGATCGAATACTTCAGTTAATTTCTGTTTATGTTCTTGAAGGCTGGATGCAAACACTACGATATCATCAAGGTAAACAAAGCATCGTTCTCCTTGTAATCCGTAAAGTACACTATCCATGGCACGTTGGAATGTAGCTGGTGCATTTTTGAGTCCGAAAGGCATTCTTAAAAATTCGTAATGACCAAAAGGAGTGCTGAAGGCAGTTTTGGGAATATCCTTGGGGTCTAATTCAATTTGATGGAAACCGGATGCTAAATCTAAAGTTGTGAAATATACTGAATGTCCTAACTTATCTAGTATGTCAGTTATGTTAGGCAACGGGTAACTGTCTCCAATAGTGACGTCATTTAATTTTCTATAATCAATTACAACACGCCATTTTTGTTTTCCAGACGCGTCTAATTTTTTTGGAACTACCCAGATTGGACTGCTCCATGGAGAAGTACTATCTTTTATAATATTCTGTTGTAACATTTTGTCTATCTGATTTCTTACTTCTTGTTGGTGTACTTGAGGGAATCTATAAGTTTTAGTATTAATTGGTATATCTGACGTAGTAGGAATAGAATGTTTAGTGTGATTCGTGAACGTTAGTGGATCGCCTTCCACGTAGAAAATGTCCGAATATTCTGAAGTTATTTTTCCGAGAGATTCACGTTCTTCTTTATTTAAATGATCACACCTTATAAGGCTCCCGATATCTATTCTTTGTTTTATAGAGATGTTGTTAATTTGTGAATTGGGTAAGGAAACAGACTGTTGAATTAGTTCCGATTCGTTAACAGAATTTACATCTATAATAGGCGTTGAAATATATACGTCATTATCACTCGAGTTTACACAAGTAATGAGAAAGCTATTATTTTTGACATTAACAAGAGCATTAGGAATACAGATATCGTTACTAATGTTTTGCTTATTTATCATTGCAGTTCCGTCTGAGATATCATTAGTTATACATGATATAACTGTCTCCGAACGACGTTTGATAATTTGTTTACCATTATCAAAGTACTTTGGTTCATCTCCCAGAAGGAACAACTGATAAGTCCTGTCATGTATTCGCATCGTTTTTGATTGAATATAAATGTTGACATTGAATTTTGACATGAAATCATTACCGAGTATACCATCAGCGTGTATGTTTAAATTTGCGACATGGAATTTAAATTTTGGAAATTGATCTAATGAAATGTGGGATGTGCCACATGTTTGAAAAGGCGAATTTTCATTAGAGATACCAATAATAGAAACGACGTTTGATGTATCGATGGTATTTTTACCGATTTTATTTTTATTTATAACTGAAATGGCTGCTCCCGTGTCTACTAATAACGTAACTGGTTGGCCATCAATATGAAATTTACAGTGCAAAAGATTTTCAGGAGGTATATTTAATGTAGAGATATTGTAAAATTCATTAGGATAAGCTCTTTTCTTTATTTGATTCGATTTTAGTTTTATTTTTGATTTTTGTTTCGATTTACGAGATTTTTTTGATTTTTTAGTCTTTGTAGTTTGTAGATTGCACGTGGGATTTGAATTAGATTCTTTTAATATAGGTTTTAGACATTGATCTTTTTCAGAATTAGTGGAATTAGTGATGCAATCTACAGAGTTAATAGGTTTCTTTGATTGAGTTAGTAAGGTTTCTGTGACCTTTATAAGTGATTCAGTGATTTTTGTGAGGTTAATGATTAATGATTCAGAGAGCTCTAAGTTTGTCTTAGTAGCTATCGTAGTTTTATTATCACAAGTACACACATCGCTTAATTGTCCCCGATGGACTGGAATTGTTTGCGCTTGTGTAGTGATGTTTGTATTAGATAATGTAGTATGACACTGATTACTATTAAATTTTATTGAATTTGAAGATCGTTTATCTGAGGTTCTAGGGTAACCTGACCTTCGGTGATCATCGAAATATTTGGGCAATACGTGGGAACCGTTTCCGAAACTGTGCCCGTCAGCTCGGCCGGTTGCAAGTTTAAATGATTTACTCGAACTGGAGCCGGATTATTTCGCGGAAATTGGTTATTACGACTATTATTAAATATTCTCTTTCTACAATTAGTTATATGATGCCCGGGTTTTTTACAATAATTACATATAATAAATTTTCGCGGATTGGTATTAATAGTATGTTTATCTGGTGGTTTATGTATTTGAGGTTGATTGATCTGAGGTGGTTGACGAACGACATTGCTATATAGCGGTGTTGTTATTCGACTATTTTTAAACAAACTTTGCCTAGCCGTATTCATTTTTCGAATTTTTCTTCTTGAATTGCAAAGTTTCCAGCATGAGTTAATGAATCAAAACCTTTTGTTCTTAACATTACACCTATGTCAGAACTTAATCCATTAATAAAAACGTTCAGAGCTGTTTCTTCCGTAGTAGTTTTCCGTCCTATTAATGTCGCATCTACCACTTCAGTTGTTAATTTTTCTAAAATTTTATTTCTACATAAATCTACGCGGTGGAAAAATTCCGTTACCGATTCAGTTGGTTTCTGAAAGAGTGATTGTAGTTCGAGATTTAGATGTGAAAGAGTTTTTGTTTGCGAAAATTTTTGTATAAGGAACGTTTTTAAGTCGTCCCAGTTTGAGTATAGTTTCGCGTGGATATCAGAAGAAGTACTCCCACTTATTTTGTTTAAAGCGTAAATTAATAAAATTTCTTCCTGCTCTAGACTTGCTAATTTAAAAGCTGAATCGCACGATCTTATGAACTTATATACTTGACCCGATTGTGTTGTATCGAAATCCGGTATTAATTGTAATAAAGTATTTAGCGGAACATTTTGTTCGCAAAATTTAGGTTTTGTGTCAATATTTTGTTGTGACATAATGAATTAGAATAATTGAATTCGTAAAATCGATATAGTATAATAGAATATTAAAAATAGATAGAAAAATAGATTTTGAGTTTGAATAATAAAATTATTTTATGATTTAGGCGAAAAAGATTTATGAAAAGGAAACAGAGAAAGGAAACAGAGCAACATGTGTTGACCACTTACCCCAATAACAGCAACAGGATACGCATTGCAGAGTATAGATTCGGCGAACTGTTCAAAGCCCTTCAGGCACCGTCCTAGGATTGTTGGCGATGTTTGTCCGAGTCCCAGACGTTAAGTTCGACTTGCACTATTACGCGACGGATCCTACCGACTGCGCCAAAATTGTTATGGGGCAGGGTTTTAACACAGTTGGTGTTTTTGAAATGACTAGACTCGTAGAGTATCTGAATTGAACTGTATTTATTATTACAAATCGTCCATATATATAGTAGAGATATCTTAATTACTATTTACAATTACAATAGTCAAATACTTCCATCGAAAGAGTGACAACAAATACAGATAATAACTTACTAATGGAAATTTGTATGAGATAAACAAATATACAAATATGAATATTAAACAATATAATGATTTCGATATCAAATGGACAAATACAAATATACAAATAGGAATGTCAAATATTATAATGATTAGGTCGTAGGCTGACACATGGTCTTAGGTCACGTACTCTTAATATATGTAACACTATACTGCACTATTAAAAGAGCCATGCCCTTTGTCTGTGACAACAAATAAATAGCTTTCAACTCAGCGAAGATACAGCTTTTATACTGATATTCATACTATCTATTTAAAATGTCACATCCCAACCATTTATACATATATATATATATGTAGTTGAAAATAAACCTTCCTATAAAAGGAGTTTTGCCAGTAGTTGCCACGCTTGGCAAGCGAGTTGGCGACCGCAGTTAAGCTTTTAGAGATGTTTTAAAAAGGACGCTGTTACTCATTCCTCGACCATTAAGTTCGCTTTGTTGCCTCTTACGACAATTATTGGAATAGAAAGGATGGCCTATTCTATGTCGGAACCACACGACCAAAAGATCTATATGAATGTAAGATAACAAATCAGTCTTTGTGTTTAAAATAATTAAAGGTTGCATACACACAATAATAAGCATAAACTATATTATAAAAATCAATTACCGAATGCATGTAAGCGCATTACTTCACAATAGTTGCATGTCTTTGGTTAATTCTTTTGTTTGTTGTGATTGTAATTGTCAGGACAAGGTTTTTATGAATAAAAATGTTTGTAAATCATATAGAAAGTGAGGAAAGTGTTAATAAATATAAATATATATATAAAAAAGACACTACACAATAAGAGAGTAAGGGGATCTTCTAAAACACTGGCAGAATTGACAGATTACAAAATCGAGGCGGGCAGCTAGTTTTATCTACTCATTTGACACATACATAAACGACAATCGTTGTAACTATGGCCACACAAAAAATGAACCTAAAATTGTGTATGTACAGATATAAATCCTAAGTATGCATTGTAATCTCTAAATTAATTAAACATAAACAAATATCGGTACGTAATTATGTGTCATACCAGATATATTAACGAAGCACAGCGTGAGTGTCGCGATGGCACAGCCGGAAGCGAGAGCGGTGGCGAGCAGCACAGCTGAAGCGGACGCACCGACGCCCGCTCCGCTCGCCGCGCCGCACACAATAAACACGTAAAGAAACGACGCCGCACATTCCGCCACCACGGCCTTCCACAATGACAAAGTCCGCACTTCCAGTCTTGCAGGCACCCTGCCAGGTAGACCCGCGTCGCCGTTAGAGCCCGCGTCTCTACGTAAACACTCCAACTTTTCGAATAACGTCACTATATGCTGTTCGAGATTATCGTCCTGTATGGTAAACGTTTGCTCGCCCATTTTTTTTTTTTTTATTATTATTAATTTTTTAAATTTATTCCGTGACCATTCTTTTTTCAAAGTTCGCGGACAAACGTACGGAACGTGTAGGAACCGAGCGCGTGGCGCCTACACAACGCAACAGTCACGCTCGCAATGAGGCGGCGAGGACGAGTGAAGTGAATGAACGAGATTGAATGGGCGGAGAGCGGGGGCGCCGCACATGTCCCGAGCTCCCGTCCCGACACTTGTTACACCCGCCCTCGGGACCTGCACTTTCAGCGAGGGTGTAATCAATTCACCAAGTCGCAAGTGCCCGAATGATTACAATAGCACTTAATTAGACAAACATTATAGCATTTTTTTTCAACTAATTTCAAAAAGAAGGATGTTCTTTATTCAGCTGGATTTTTTTGTTTGTTACCTCATAACTCCGTTAGTTGTAAACTGATTAGGATTTTTTTTCCGAATGGAAATACTTACAAATTGGTCCTATACAAATTTTATCAGATTCGGTTCAGTAGTTTATTAATAAAAATAATTGGTTTTGCTTCAATTGATGTCGACTTTATTTGTGGAACACAATTTAATTATTATCTATGAGTAATTTCACCAAAGCTCAATATTACATCACCTGATGGTCGTAAATTCGATTCTCGCACAGCACAAATATATGTATCCATGGATATGTTTTGGTTTGGATGATTATAATATGAAATATTTATATACGTTATCTACCAAATACAAGGTATATAAATATGGCCAGTTCTATTTATTATTATTACACATATTGTGTCATTTGTACAAGAGCAGATTTTATTTGACATTATAACAATCTAGTATGCGGCCCGCTTGATGGTAATTGACACTTGCAACACACAATACTAGTGGCATTATACGCGCATCTACAATTATAAGGAAGTTGAATCATTATACGCAGTTATTTCACAACCATATCTTAATTTTCAAACCTGAACACAGTATCCGTACATGTTTCTTGACTGGTGAATTAATAGCATGTTTTCTTTAATGGGTGAGAATAATGTAAATGTTCAGTAACGTAAAACTCCGGAAAGAGCCTGGAGATCTGTAGTAGAGGTTTCGACTTAGTTCAGACTCCAGACTCTCATAAAAAAATAAAAAATGGGTGAGAATAAAATGATAACCCCATCTGTGCTATTCAATATGGCGAGGCACCAGTGAATGATAATAGGTTAGGATAAAAGCAGGCCAATTGGTCCCTCATGACGAATTTAACAATAATTAACCACAATGGTTTCCAGACTCCATTACTAACAATCCTTTTCCTCCCTTAATAAGCAAGTTGGAGGTACTTGTGCAGACTTTGTACAACCGCCTTCTAATAAATATTAGTCCTTTATATTTTATTCTTGTCTATTCATGCGTGTGTACAATGAAATTAAATATAAAAAAAATATGCTTATCACTATATTTGATGGGGTAGTCAGAGACAATTGATTAATATTACATTTACATACATACATACATATCTGTCACGCCTGTCTCCCATTAGGGTAGGCAGAAACAATGGAACGCCAAATGCTTCGATTCAAACAAATCTCTTTCGCTTCTTCCACATTCATCAATCTTTTCATACACATTTGTGTAAGCATATTTAAAAATTATTTATTTATTTATTCATTAATACAAAACTTACTCAATGCTTAGGACTTAATGCTAAAAGCATTCTATTTAAAAATAATCCTTACTAAATAATAAAATTTTTTATCTCAGTCAGTAATCAGAGGGAGACTTTGTACAAAAGTCATTTGCTTGGGCACCTCTGTCCCGTTCGTGTTTCTTCCATGAAATAGTTGTGTTTGCAAAGCTGTGTTGGATTTGAAGGGTGGGATATGGCAGTGAATTTACAGGGTAGACAGCAATAACACCTGAGTCCTCAGAAATGGCAATTGGAGGCATGGCAAAGGATTGAAGGCATCATGGGCGAAACAGTATACTCTCTTATGTCCATGGTACTGCTCATGTCTATAGGTGACGGTTAGTACTTTCCATCAGGTGAACCGACAGCTTGTTTGCCATTCTATGTTGCATAAAAAAATAACATCCCGGTCACGCGAACGAAGTTACAGGTAAAAGTTAGTAATATATAATACAATAATAGTATCTGACTAAAAATAATAATACCAGAATTCTAAGATCCCTTCCAGGAAAAATACACAAGGCTTTGCTCTTAGAAGCCCGTATTACTGCACCGGAAAATAGAATATAGGTATTATAGATATTATATTTTTTAAGTGCACCGGTTCTGCCAGGTGCTGTGATGACGATGGTTTGAAAAAGTCTTTTGTATAGATAAGACTATATGAATAAAGTGTATTTTAATTTAGTTACCTAATATTTAATACAATTCCATTAATTTATTGCAATAACATGGCGAAAACATATTTTTGTATTTTAACTTTTGTATTTTAAAAAAAAATATCTTTTGTATTTTGTTCTTATAATTATGTAACTTATTTGACAGTATGAATTTAGCTGTAAATTTACAATATCAATTCACCAATTAGACAGTAGAAAAGTTGGGTTACCATGTTATTAAGAGAAGCGGCACATTTCACGTCGATAACTCTGATAATTAAATTAATTTATTCAACAACAAACCGAACGTAACACGATGAATATCGATTCTATTCTAAACGAAAAACTTTATCACTGCCCTTGCCCTTTTCCAATTATTTGTGTTCGTCGAAATAGGTTTGCCCATTTTATTTGTATTTATCAGCAATATTTTCTCCGTACGCCCGTCCCCCGGCACGTTTCTCACAATCCATCCATCTTTTCTTTTGTATTCCCCTTTCATAATTGTCCTCGAAGTTTAAATTCAACTTTATGTTCATACAGTGAATATAAATTTTATTTCCAAATACACATTTGTCTGACTATAATGAAACCGTAGGCACTGAACTAAATAATAATTACATGCGTAATACACAAAAGTAACTTATGTAATTTGTATTTCAAATGTAGCTACTTTGATTCAAATGAATCAATAGAAACTTTATCTGTGAAATTAAACTTTAGTAATTATGCGGTAGATAATAACCAAACCGGAGATTTCCAAGAAATCTCTGAATTTTATTAAATTCGAAAATTATACCCACAACATCCAGACATATAAATGTTTAAAAATATATCTATCTTTTTTACACAACATGGAGTCGTTTATAAGTTGTCCATCAATATATTGATCCGTCCGATGGACAGTGGTGACCGTCTTCTGTGAACATGAATACCATCACTTACATAAAAAAATCACGGCAAAGAGAAATGATTCCGCTCATGCGTTACCATACCTTAGGGATAATATTCCACCATACTTCCGTCCACCTCCTTTCACCACCGCTAGAAACATTAGTGATACAGAGATACAGAAGCAAGCAACATTTATTTTAGTCTAGTGTAAAATATCTAATTCATAAAATTATATTTACAGACTTTCATATTTGTAATATATTGCAATTTCCCGCGTATCAAACTTCAATATAACCTATCGATGTATTAAATTTCATTCATATCTGTGGGGTTACTCTTGAAATAAATTCCAAATAGATCGATATTGAAATTGAGACGTTTTGCACTCCCGAATTGCAATACTAGCGACATTATGGTTCCATATTGTTCTAATAGATTGATTTTTTTTTTAATGGATGATAATGGAATGGTAGCCCCACCCGCGCTATCAGTATACACCGAAAGAGCACCAGTGAAGGATGATAGGTGAGGATGAAGTAGGTCAGTTAGCCCATTGTGACGAATTCAACAAGAATTGTTCACGATGGTTTCCAGGGGGAACCACGTAGAGGTATATTGCTAGCAATGGGGCTGTCAAACTCTATTGCTAACAATCCCTTTCCCCCCAATAGATGGATATCAGTGTAAATTGTCAATGCAAACCCATTCCACGTCTCATCTAATCCATGACTGTTATTTCATGAGTGCAGTATGAAATTGTCATTAGAATAAAATACTTTATTTGCTTTGAATAGGTAATGACAAAGTCTTATACAATACATAAACGATTCCATATTCAGCTATTAAGCATGCAAATTATATTTTGTTTTTTTTTTAATACGACTACCAATAACTAAGTTACAATTCATAATATAGTACTGTACATAGTATTTCATATTAATATTTAAAACAAATACAATTTATAATTTAAAATAATAAATTGTTACATTTTTGTTTAAATTTACAATTAGCTCAATGTCAGTAGATGTTAATATCAAATAATAATTACAAACAAGTAGCAAATGCAAATTATAGATATAAATTTAATTTGTACAATATGTCAATACAAAATGCACCGCCTACATATTTCTCGGTTTGCCCAATGGTTGACTGGTAGAGAACACCGTCCGGTGTTAAGTCCGCCAAATGTACATAGGATTTTATTGTGCATTAATTGTTTAAATAAATAAATATGTCATAGCTTACATTAACATCAAATATTATCACGCTTATGTTCAATAAATTCTTTCACCGAGTAGAAACACTTTTGTAAGAGCCACTTCGACAAGGTTTGTTTAAACTGATTAAGACCTCATGCTTTAAACTCCTTAGGGATTACATTTTACAGTTTTGTTCATTGGCAATATATTGGATTGATATCCATATTAAATTCAGGATATATAGTGGTCAATTTAGTAAAAGAAAACGTAATTTAGTCACAAATATTCACACGTCTTTATAAAGCTTCACGTTTGTAAAAAATTAAATGTATGTATGTAAATGTATAATTCAGTTGTACTGTATGCCATTTGTTATGTTTTTGACTTGTTATTTATTTGTTTTTGTTTAGTTTGTATTTGTATTTGTTTAGTTCAGCTACCATTGGTATGTGTGCGACTGCCAATATTTATAGATCGACTCCTACTAGGCTATTAGTATACGTAAGCCACTAAAAAGTAATTAGCATGTGCTGAAATAAAAATTTAAATGCCTTTAGATAAGGCGAAATGTGTAGCTTAATAATATTTAAGACCATTATTACCACATTTTGAGCAAATAAATAAATTATTATTATTTATTATTAGTGGGATTACTAGCTGTGGGCAATTGCTCCGCCTGCGTGATTTAGGATAATGTAGGTACTTCAAATCTAAACATTAGAATTCGTTTATCGCAATTTGAATGTCTAATAAATATCTAAACATCTTT